CACTTGACTGTTTTCATGAACAGAGAAAAGGCCCGGTGGCTGGAGAAAGGGGAAGGTGGTACAAGTTGAGCTCGGTGAGGGGGGGCAGGGGTCAAGTCATGTAAGACCTTGTAGACCATGGTCATGTTCAAACCAGTTTCTGTAGAAAGGCATGTAGGTGGGCAGGGGCGACATAGGGGGGTTTTCAGGAAGCCAGGGGAGAGGTGGTCCCAGAGCCCATTCATGGAAATATCCCTTTAGCCAATCAGAGGCTTGGGGCGGGGGGCGGGGCCAGCCAGGGGCCAGCGACCTCTCCAGCCCACTTGTTCCTGGTATTTCTCCAAGGTTGTCTTATTCTTCAGTCAAGAGCAAGTTATCTATTGCATAGGTGATTGACAAGGTTAGGCTGTGACTTAGGCTTCCTTTGGGGACAGATTGGAGGGAAGGGGATTGGATAAAATCTCTAGTGTCGGGAGCCGGTCCATCCTTGCTGCTTGACACAGTTGCTGCAGGAAAGAAACATCTGCACAGCATATGTTTCAAGGGATCTGGCGTATATAGCATACTGTTCTTAATATGTTTGCTCCCCTTAGCGCTATGTGTTTTAACCAAGGTCACCTCTCCGAGAAAGGTTGTTTCCCCAGGTAGGGATTTTTCCCTGAAGTTAGGGAGGAAATAAAACCCCTTAACTAAGTGCCAGGCGGGTAGTTAATCACTTTAACTAAGAACAATCACGCTTAAGCTACATAATCTTTACTCCCTGGAATGGAGATAAGAAACACCCTAACCTTTGGAATAGAAATTGACAGGATTAAAATCAACTGGTATAAATACAGATGTAACAAGACAGCAGAGACAGGACCTAGACACAGAAGCTAGACAGAGAACTTACACAGAACCTAGACACAGAACATAGAGACAGGCCTTGGCTGGAGAACCTATACAGAACCTAGAAACAGAACCTAGAAACAGAACCTAGCGAGAGAACCTGGCTGAAGAACCTAGAGACAAAACCTAGAGACAAAACCTAGAGACAGAACCTAGAGACAGAACCTGGATAGAACATGGCAAGAGAACCTGACTAGAACCTGGTGACTGAACCTGGCTGGAGAACCTGGACAGAACCTGGCTGGAGAACCTAGCAAGAGAACATGGACACAGAACCTGGCTGGAGATCCTAACCAGAACTTCGCTGGAGATCCTGACCAGAACTTGGCTAGAGATCCTGGCTAGGCTGCTGATCAACTCAACACTGTCTCCGTGTCATTCCTTCTTCGCTGACTCCGTCCACACCTTTGGGGACCCCTGGACCTGCTGGGGTTGGACCCCAGCACTCTAGGAATGGCTTTGACTGACAGCACGAAGGCTTTGGGTTAGCCATGCTTTTGGCCCCAGTTTTGCTAGTAACTAGTCCAGGAGTGGTACAGGAGTCCCCTCCCCTTCCTGGGCCTTCATCTGTGAAGAAGGGACCCTGGGGAGGTGGTGAGAAGGGCGGTGAGGTGATTTGTAAGGGTTCTTCCTGCTGAAAAAGGCCTTATATTACCAGCTGTGATCTGAAAGTACAAGATAGAGTTGACTGAATTAACTCAGCTTTATTGGTATCATAGATGTGCTCTTACTGGCTGCTTAAAGAGAAAACATATTTGTCTATGACAGTAAGATGGCTCAAAACAAATAAAACGTATTACTTTGAAATAATTGTTCCCTGTAAACAA